CTCCGAATATTTCAAGTCCTGCAATTTACGTTAATTGAATATGTTCACAATTCCTACTCGTATATAGCTGTAATATATATATATATATATATATATATAATTGTATCTGCCGCTATGATATATGTAGAAATACCCTAAAGTTTACACACAAAATTGATAGCCAAAAACTTTAGTTGTCAAATCGTTTGCTTGACATAATCACAATATACCTACTGCTGTTGTGTGCAAAATCGGAAAATTAATTGGAACATTGCGTAGATAAAATGGCTGATTATTTAACTCAGAAATACCACCAATTTATTCCACCAAACGTTTTCCAATTGAAAACAATTTAATGTAAATTTATGAACGCGACCGAATCACAATTATATTAATTATTATTAATTGTTTAATAATTTTAATTATTGTATATGAAGCTAAAAGACTGTACCCAAAGTCACGACAGAATAATTTATGTATACTATACCTATAGTACCTACCAACTGCTAATTTGGTCTGCTAAAACTATAGAAACCTAAAACAACCACAGATATAAAACGCATATGCTTAACATATTGAATAGAAAATTAAATTTAAATCAGTACAAAAAATTAAAGAAGTTAGACTAGAAAAGCAATATGACATAATGTACTAAAGCGGCACTAAGTTATATTATTTAATACAATTTTAATACAATCTATTATACATTTATACGAATATCAATTTTAGATTTTGAGGGAAGCGATTAATGTATTGATTTTACAAATATATGTTTTTTTTTTATATATTTAGGTACCTACTATAAAAAGTTGAAAAACTTCGATTTTAAATTTTGAAGGTGGTTTTAGATAAGTACCAAATTGGATAGAGTTTGAATTTCAAAGAGGTCAAAGTTAAAAAATACCCGTATAAAAAGCATAACAAAAATTAAGAAAAAACGAGAAATTTTACGCAAATCAAGTTTTTTTACCAAATCGATTGTTTATTTTTTTTTTTTTTTTGTGCAACTTAAAATACTTGAAATATCCACCAATATTTTTAACACAATTCCAATATATAATACTAATTTAAAAATATTTTCACTCATTTCAAGCTAGTTATTTTGACATTTGAAATTTTCTATTTTTTTTTAAAGTTATTTTATAATAAATGTCGATAAAAAATTATTCATTAAATAAAAATGATTTAAAATGTAATTAAAGGTAGTAGGTACCTCAAAAGTTTTAATATGTTAATTAGAAAATATACTAAAAATATGTAGGTACCTAGCCACAATATATTTTTTTTAAACGTGTAAAGTTGAAGTTTTCATGAAATTTATTATAATTTTAAAAATATACAAATTATTTTGTAGTTAGTAATTTAAAAAACTTTCTATTAAATTTATAGTTTTAAAATTAAATATACCAAGTTTTTTAACCTTATTTAAAAAAAAAATTGAACCGAAAAGTCAAATTAATTTTTTAAAAGCATTTGAGTTTCAAATTATTACGAAACTGCACATATTTATTATTTGTAAAATACCTATCTCCTTGATCAATTTTTATATTTATTGCAATTATTAAGAAACAATCAATCATAAATAGGTACCTACATTTTAATTTTCATCAAATGTTTCTATGATAATTTTTTTAAACATGATTAAATTTTCAAATTATTTTGACTCTTTTTGAGATATCTAAAAACATTTTAAATTTTCCATTTTTTTTTTTTTTTTTTTTTAATGTATAAATGTCGATGAGAAATCATTTACTGGGTAAAAATACTTAAAAATGTATTATAAAATTTCTCATAGGAAGTTCATATTGAATACATAGGTATGCATAATATTTTATAAGTATTTTAATATCGAATTCAAACGAAATTACATGTTTAAACAATAAATAACTATGTATACTTCATAGTTCATTATATTTTTAAAGTTCAAAAACATAATTTATGAGAGATATGAGTCTTTTATGTAGATTATTATAATTCACACACACAATATAATATTTTCAAATGTAATGATTCATCAAAAATTCATTCAATCTACTAAATTAATAAGAGTAAAATAAATTACTTTAACTAATAGCAATATCAAAAAACATATCATACAATACGCTTGATGCAGTGATACATGCTAAATAGACCGTTTTCGCTCAGAATCGTTTTTTATGTTCGATGATAAGTCATTAAATTTAAATTTAACTCACTCGTTGTACTCTCTTTCCCACCTTTACTGTTTATACTTCATATTTTATTAGATAAATTTTATAATGTGAATTACATTGAAAGTACATGGAAGTTCATAAAATATATCAAGTGTAAGTTTCTTGCTTAAATTATTTAATTATCCAATATTTTATCACGTTAGATATATTATTAAAATTTATTATTAAATTGCACAATATTAGTGTACTGGATAGATATTATACGAATACATTCCAATCAAAAATTTAGTAAGTATCTACTTCATAATGATCATAGACTTGGCTCTTATTAACTTTTATTGACTTTGACTTTTATCATGTCAAATGTTGCTGAAATGTACCAAGTCTTCAAAAGTCTTATTTTTTATTTATTGTAAATAAATTTAACAGGAAAATGTCAACACTAATAAAGATTTTTCCTCTGTACAATTTATAATTACTATTAAATTTATATGTTTTTTTATTGGTACTAATTATACTATAATAGCATAAAACAATTCAAATTAATTCATATATAAAATTATAAATTGAAAATATTATAATATCAAACGTCTGTTGCGGGAAAAAGTTTTTGAATTCATCACTCATATCAGTTATATCATCAAAGCCAATTTATAATAATAATTCTTGCTCAACAAACATGAGTAGGTAATAAAGCTTCAAGTCTATTTTGTACCATAATATTACAAAGTTTTGACTTATAGCAATGGCCAGTTTTAAAAAAACATCTTTCACAAGAACAATTTGTAGCTAGAATGATCTAAATGTCATCAACAAGTCATAGAAATTTGAAAAAATGTTTATTTGATCCAATTTTTTGTACCCAATCTAACTTTTGATCTATAGTTGTTGAAGACGATCCACAAGAAATGACAGTTAATCCTTTAAAAAGTTTAATTTCCTGTTCTAGTTGTAAATATTTTGTGCTTAAAAAGTATTGAAATTATAATAATCATAATTATGCAGTTTAAAATTTTGAACTCTTGCTATAAATATTTTTTGAATAAGATAAGTGCAACAAAGTAATTAAAATCGAAAAAAACAATTATTTTTCTTAATACTTATTTTTTCATAAAATTTGAATTTCAAATGTGAATAAGAAAAATTCTATTTATTATTAAGTAGTGTTTTCAATATTTATAAATATTAGTAAAAACCAAAACTTTAATATTTAGTAATAAATCATGATTTTAGTAGATTTAACATATTTTATTATATTGCAGGCTACAGTTGTATCTCAATATTATTTTAAGGTTTATTAGGCAATAACTAAAACCGTGTTCCTATGTACAATTGGCCCTTACCTAATGGCTAATACATTTCATATTTTGGTTTAGTATTACTATTGCATAATATGATAACAACATAACGTAACATATTAAATTAACATTTTTAAAAGTATAAAAAAAGTTTCATATTCAACCTCTAAAATTTTAAATTTTTATGTTCTTTACTGTTGTAAGTCTAGCCTTAGTAAAAAAAAAAGTTTATTTTTTCCAAGTACAAAATTGATTAATATAGTTACTTAAATTATTTTACGATTTTCAAGTGCACACCTAATTAATATTGTATGATATACCATATTTTATTATTTTCTAAATACAGTATCAATTGCTGTATTTTTTACTATTCAAACTCAATTTAATAGTTAGTATAATACTTTTTCATCGTATAGGTATTGTTGTTTATACTAACCAATAATTTAGTACATAAAATAAAAAATAAAATAAAAATAATAATGTCAAAAAGATAGTATCATATTCATAGTATAGACCAATGAAGCAAATAAACTGAGGCAGCATATTGTAAATTTGTAAATAATATTCAAGAACATGAACACCACTGTGGTGAGCAATGCGGGTTTTCAATCGAGACATGTGTGCTGCGTTAACAAAAGACCTGTATTTTTATTTTATTTTAATACAGTAGTTTCAGTACCTAGAGCGAATTATCATTTTATTTTAAATAACCACAATACTTACGTCTTATTTTGAGTTTTATTTATAAACAATTAATTTATAGTCTGAAGGCAGTCTAATAAGTGAAGTAGTCTTATCAACACTTTAAGAACAATTTTGTTAACGATTCATTTATGGCCGTTTGAATTTTCAAATTAGGTAGTAGTATACAATCGAAAGGTACACATCAGTATGTGTACACTTACCACTTATTAAGATAGCAATATTTTTACTGTAATTCATTTGATAGCCATATTCTAGGGTTCTAATAAAAATTAGAAAAAAAATATGTCCAAGAATAAATATTCTTAAAGTATATGTACTTAAAATAATTATTTCCAACTCTCAGTATTCCAAGTTTATTAATTAAAATAATATAATTTCTTGAGATATATAATGGATAGTATAATTAATAGTCATACAGTTTTTTTAGCATAGTCTCTAAAGTTAACAGGTACTTTCAAATTTAAAATTAATAAGGTATTTTTTAAGAAATATGGTATGTATTATGCGTAAAATTATGAAAAAAAGATAATGTTGAAATGCATGGGCATAAAAATACAATTATTTTAATATGTGTAATATCTATGAAAACAAGATTCATAATTCATTGACAAAGTAATCTTAATTTATTTAAATTATAATAAATATCCTTGGGTTCTGCAAAATTATCTTAAATTATAAAGTATATTATTAAACAGTTAAAAAAATGGTGTGCATAAAAACAATTACAATGAGTCTATAATTACTATAAGTTTAGTAAAAATAATATAGAAATAATTTCAGTTATTTTAATGCAGATATTTATCTTAATCATAAAATCAACTTAAATAAGGGTTTTTTTTTAAATATGTATAATTAAACTATTTATTTTAAATAAATAGTGAATGAAAGTTTATAATTAATTTATAAATTACATATTATAATTATGATGAAGGCAATGAGTCCTCATCTTTTTTGTCATCATTCTCAACCAATGAAGATGAAGGCAGTGGTTCAACATCCACATTCTTTACTTCCTTCTAAAAAAAATATTTAAAACAAAATATTTGTGAATCAGACAGATTCTGGTGTATGGTGGTGTTAGTAAATTAATTTTTCTCTAATATTTGGGACACAAAAATAAACATAATTTACAAGCAGGTTAGATAACTGATTAAGGGTAAAGTTCAACTGTATTAAATACTTATGTAATTTTGGGTTTAGTGCAACTATAATTATTATATTTGATTATATATTATTAATTTTTACATTTAGGTACTAGACACCAAAAAACAATCTAGCAAAATAACAATATAAAAAAAAAAAACTACTTATTTAAATATTTAATTTTTGTTTTTGCTATGGATTCATAACACTAATAAAGTGTTAAATTTGATCTAACATATATATTTGTAACAGTATTTAACCTAATTATATTCAAATTTATATTTTTAAATATGGTAAGTATTAATAATATTTAAAACAAATTATTGCTTTATATGTTAAACATAAAAATATTAGAGTAAATATTTTTTTCAACTCTATGCACAGAATATAAAATCAATTTACTTTCATTTTAAAATCTAAAAGATTTTAAATTATACGTAATTTAAATAAATGTTAAGTTACAGAAAAATTGAACTTTTCCAAAAATTATTATTTAATACATAAGTATTTACATGTATTAAATATTTATAAATAAATCTTACCGGTTCTTTATGATCTTTAAGAGTTTTAACTGTAGCTTCTGGTTGGCAGGCTTTATTAGCTTTCACCAATTGATCACAAACCTTTATTATATTTAATGCATCTGTAGCTGTCAGCAAATTATTCTTTTCCAATTCTTGATATTTTGAACAAATATTTTTGATGTAAGCAGACATACCCATTTGTAGTAATTCCCTAAACAAATTTGACAAATAAAGTAAGTTATTTTGTATAGTACTACAATTGTAATATAATATACAGTCTAATAGAAGAACGTCCTCCATAGAAGTCATTAGACATTGCAGAACAAATGTCACATTTATCAATGCATTCCATTTTTACATCTCCAAAATATTCAGAAATAAATTTGTGTCTACACCTATTTTAATAAGAAAAAAAAAATGTATAAAAATTAAACTATGTACAATTATAGGTATCAATTATATAACATACTTTAAACCTTCACAATAATCTTTCATATAACGAGAATGAAGAAACACAAGGAAACGTTTTGCTGTTTTTTGTATTGTATCCATAGTATAGACTGAATTCATTTCGGTAACCAACACACCTTCATTTATTTCATTATAAAATGCTGTTGATTTCTTTGTTAAGAAAATTCTACATCGTGCAGGGTGACCATCTTTTCCAGCTTGACCTGTTTCATTATAATAAGCCGAAATACTAGACGGCAAGCCCCAATGTACAACCACTCTTATACTTGGTTTATTAATTTCCATTCCAGAAAGACTAGTTACAGTAAGAACTTGATAAAACCCCTTCATAAAAGAGTTTCTAACAGCATTACGTTCAGTTTGCTCAAGTCCTGTTTAAAGTAAAAAAAAATTTATCAGAGACAGTTCTACCATATGGGCAGGGTGGACAACTGCCCATACCTAAGTTTCTAGTGTACCTTATCTTATTTTAAAAATATAACTTTTTATAGCAAAATAAGATATTTTTTTCATTTGCTAAATTGTAATAATAATTTACAATTTATATAATTATTATTATTAAATTGATAACAAACTGGTAGTTACTACTATATTGTCTATGTTATTAATGTTGTGGTAATTTAAAATATACTAATATTGCTTATAGAGCTAGTTTAGATTTAATAGGATGACTAAAAACATCTTGGTTTATTGGCGGGAGTAAACGTCATCACCAGATATCCTGAACAGCAGATATTTTCATAACAGTTGACATATTATATGGTTAATATGAGTTCTAACTAAATTCTATTTCTTATACCAAATGTGTAAGCTTTACGCTAAAATTGAAAGTTTGCTATGCCACTGCCCCCTCCCAACCTGATTGAAATTCTAGCTATGCCCATGATGATTAACCACATAATAAATGATTTATCATACTAAATTACAATTCAGAACTATCGTATTATTTTTTTCTTTAATTAATTTCAATGACATTAAGAATTTAAATTAGTTTAATATTGATAATTATTGTTGACTTAATTACATTATTGAAGTGAATTAGTGAATTTAGTTCATATTTATATACAATGAATACATTTTTCTAAACATAAAACTGGAAAAATAATTGATAAAGACATGCCAAAATCTCTATCAGTACATACTAATAAGTAATGACTTTAAAACTAGTGAAAACTCAATAGTATTACTTTTAAACTCAAAACCAAGTAAACAACTGATAAAATCTTCAAAATATTAAATTTAAGTTTAAATTAATCAATTTCCTGTATAATCAAATATTGTTTATCCTCAAAAATATATGAGAAAAAATTAAATGTTCCTTTAATAGTACTTAGTATTAACAGTATCCATGGATTGAGTACTCAATATAATTAGATCAAAGTTTTAATTATTATAGTAGACATTATTTGCCATCAAGTCAGCATTGTACTCCTAATGCTAATCTAACAATTCATGGTTATTCAGACAGGAAACATATAGGAAATATGGCTAAAGTACATGATAAATGTGATACACACAGAATAGCATTAGTTAAATAAAAAGGGTATGTGATTCTAAAATACAAAGTAGTGTAATTGATTCACAATTAGAAGTTGAAGTTGCAAGAAATTGGACATTATTAAAAAGTATAATAAGGTGTGCCATTTATTGCTCTAGACTACATTTGGTTCGCATTTTACAAGAACATTCTGAAACAATTGAAACTCATGAAATTATAAATAATGATATTGCAATAGTAAGCAAAGGCAATTTTTTTAGAGCTTGTTAAGTTGTTATGTATTAAAAGTTAAACATTTTGTTCGGCTTATGAAGTGTTATCAAAGAATGAAAAAATATACTAATAAAATAATTCAAAATTATATAATAAGTGCAGTATCAATAGTAATTGCTCAGTCTATTTAAAAAAAAGTTAAATAAGGAAGTAAAATATTTAGCTTAAATATTTATCAAGTCAGAGACGAAGCAAAATTCTAACAAATGAGAATTTGTAATTGGTATGTACATAGTTTTGTGATAAAAGATTTTTAGGATTTGTTAAACTCAAAGAACTAAATGCTAATGCCCTAAGCTCAAATATTAATTATTTTTTAATAATATTATTTTAGATTTGAGTAAATATATAAATTAGTCATTCAATGGATCATCAGTTATGTCTAGACAGTTTAATGGAGTTTAAAAAAAAAATTAAAGATATCTCAGAAAATTTGTATCCATATGTACACTGCAATGCACATAAATTAAATTTAGTTTTAGTGGATGTTTCAAGGAAGGTAGAAGAAGTACATAATACTATAGGTCTCTTGGAAGCAATATATACATTTCAGTCATCATCAAAAATACGGCATCAAATATTTTTTGATAAAGCTGCCTATGCATTGCGACGCACATTGGGTACCAACATTTAAAATTATTAGTTACTTAAAAAATAACTTTAGACTAGTATTAATAGCATTAAAAAGTGTTCTGAAAGTTTAAAATCTAAAGAAGTTACAGAAACTAAAGGTCTACTAATTTAAATGAATTTTTTAAAAACTATTGTTACTGTTTTGTTTGGATTATATTTCTTCTTTAGTAAATATTCTATCGCTAAGTTTACAGATAACATCACTTGACTTTAACAGTTGTGCATAATTAATAAAATATTGTGTCTGCAACTAGCGCAAAACACAGTTTTTCCACTATGTGCCATGTCAAGATATATAATATGTAGAGTTCAAGAACAAGCAACCTTACATCATTATCAATTGATAGAGAAAACTCAGAAAAATTATTAACCCGTCATTGGTGACGCTATGAGCATTTCGCTCACACAATTAGTATTTTTAGAACGATTGGTTTATATTTAATTCGATCGTTACAATATTATATAAGTGCTTCATTGAGTTATTCGCGAAACTAAATACGGAAAAACATTAAATGATATAAATAAACTAACAAAGTTATTGAAGTCCAATGTTGCCGTACATGTAATAATAACGTGTATATTAGCGTTGGCTCACACATCGCTGATCGCCTTACCGTATTATCTAGTTATTTTATTATCATATTATCATATTATTATATTATTTTATTATTATCTTATTATATTGTTTTATTATTTTGCTTTAGCAGTTCAATATTGATATTTATCAATACCACATTATAGAAATTCTTAGGCTCATACATGTATTTTAATAGGTGAAAATTTCGCTAACACATCACTAACAGTGTTATAAAAACAACGTCACCAACGACGACGAGTTAAGAGATTCAACTGCTACCTTCAAAGTATTTGAAAGTATAAAGAAAAATCCAATTTCAAATTTTAACTTAACTATTTTTTTTATTTTTTTTTTTATTAGTCTGAATTACTTTTTTAACAGTTACTTAACTAATTAAATATGATTATACTTAAATAGTTTAAAATTAAGGATTACAGTATTTTCGCATATTTAAAATCTCTATAATATCTATTATGATCACTATTATAATTTATAAATATTTGAAATTACTTATTATAATGTATTCACTGCTATCATTATAAGGTATTTGTGGAGGCTTTAAGCATAAATATTTTATTAAATTAATTTTGTAAAAGTGAAAAAATATTTTTTTGAAGTTAAGACCTAATTATAAATTAACCTATTATACTATTGCCCACAAGAAAATTTAATTCTAAAACCTCACCTGCAGTTTGTTGAGTATTTAAATTAAATTTAATATATTTGATATATTTACCAGAATGATAAGCAGCAATCGAAATACCATTTTCTTTGAGATCTTTGGCTAATTGTTCAGTAACTTGTCTTGTCTTACAGAATATTAATCCTGAGGGTCGACCTGCACTTGGCTAAAATATAAAATGTTATTATTAATACATCATGCATTTAAAAATAAATAAGATACTTACAGCACCACGATATATATTATCTCCATTTAAATATTCCTCAAGGTATTTTGTTAAATGAGGAATTGAAATTCCAAAGATATCATCCTGAATTACATCATAATATATATTTGGTCTAAAGACGGGTATCGAAAACTTTATAAAACATGTAGGATCATCTCTAATATATAAAACCCTTCTCAAGAAATCAATAACCTAAATATAATAAAATATAAATTATTTAAAAAAATTTAAATTAATTCCATTAATAATAATTAATATTTTATTATATACGTCAACACCAGCTGTAGCTGTAGCCACAATCCATGGAATGTCCTTGCAATCTTTTTTAAGTCTGCCAAGTGGATGATACTCAGTATTTTTTTGACCATAAATCCATTGGTTTTCACAATGTGCTTCATCGACTATAATATATGATAGTTTCTTATTTTTCATCAAGTTAGACACTAATAGCTGAAAATATAATACATATAGTATAGTATATATATAGTCAATCAAAATAATGATTTAATTAAATATAATATTATAATGACCAACTTTAAATTCCAATGTAGAAACTTGATCAGGAGTCACGTATAAGAAATTAATATGTGCAACTGTTCCGGATTGTAAATCACCATAAATACGTAGTTTTTCAGCAGGAGTTGTTAACGAAGAAACAACTTCAGCATTAATATGAAAACGCCTTAAGTTGTTAATTTGTTGCTATAAAAAATTAGAATGTATTACCTACAAACACATATTATATCATAGGTTATTTTCCGAAAATCGGCACTCACTGTAATCCTTGAAAGGAGAGGAATAATCACTATAGCCATTTTATTCCAATAAATTAGAGAGGGTAGTAGGTAGGAAATTGACCTACCATAACCACTTGGAAACGACACGAAAACATCAGAGTTTCCTTTGAAAAACAATACACGACAATGAAAACATCATATCATCACATTTAATTAAGTACATAAAACTAAATCGTAAAATGCGTTCGGTGCAAGTACTCACTTTTCAATATTGTTGTGATAGCAGTCTTCTGCGTTTCGTTCTTAAAGTCGGAGTGATGGAAATAATGACGCAAGAATTTTAACAGTGATTTGTTATCCATGTCGACGATGTTCAAACGCTTGGTGGGAAACAACTCTTACTGCGTCTAATAATATCGACGACGGTGTATATTGTACAATCGTTCGCCCGTGTCCCGTACAATAGATTTTAATTATACTGTAATCGTGTACTGTACAGGCGTTCTTTAACAAACGAAACGATTTGACTACAACACCAAGCAACAACAAGCACACAAACGTAACGATTTAAACGGTCAACAACGAGATGAAAAACTTAAGGCTGACGCCGGAGTAATGTTTATAACTGTTGACCGAAGCCTCGTGTAATGACGATAATAGTAATAATATAAGATGAGCGGCGATAAATCAATACAAAGAATGCGCACGCGAAACCCGGGAAAACGGTCGCAAACGGCGTCGTCAGCCTCCGGCGTCTAGCAGACAGCAGTGCGCCAATCGCGTGATCTGTTATATAATCGGGCGATCGGAGCCAGGGCAGAATACCGTGTAACGTGTAATAGTAATAATATTAACGAATCGTGGTAAGTTTTTCATATTCACCGGGCCGCAACACGCGCTACCAAGGCACGCGGAACAAACACGGACGTTATAAATCTGTGCACAGTGTGCACGGACGCTCGTCGACGTCCGCCCGGTCGCGCCACCAGATGGCATTCCTAGTAACGTGGGTCACCACCTTAAAGCGGTCCCGGTGCCCTTGTATTGTAGAATTATTTATTCATCGTATCCGGCATGTCTTTTTCTGTCGAACAGTCCATCGTCCGTGATGTACAATTAAATGCGATTAATTTTATCGCGGAATGCCTTAATAATATTATCATGCCGTACTCTTTTAACTTATCGATTATAAAATAATCGGAAAAGACGTTCATACCGGACGCGGGAACCGCAACGGCGGCGTCGTCGTCACCATGGTTACCGCCTTTATCCACACGAATTCGGCAGCGATAATATTATTGTAATCGTAGCATTGAAATATTGAATAACTTTTCACGTTAAACCAATCTTTATATTTTATTACCTTTATCTCATTTTTCCGTACGTCCATTATTATAAATACAATCACACACACACACACACACACACACACACACACACACACACACACAACACACATTAATGATCACTATATTACTAAGCGCACACGTTTTATGACGCGTACAGAATCACTTATAAAATCGCGTATACTGAACTTTTTAAAAACAATTAGCATATTGGTATCTAAGCAATTTTTTAATCACCTTGGCCTACGTTAATGTTCCGTAAAATGTCGTTGACTTGTTTTCTTATTAAGATTTTAATATTCATTGCTGTTTGAATTTATTACGATTAGAATACGTATTTTAAAAGTTAAATATATTAATTTTTTACGAATGTTTCAAAGTTCAAATTTTTACAACACAGTATTCACCCATAAATAACTGTGTATAAATATGTGTTATTTTAGGATGGTATTAAAACGTATGGTTGGATTATAAACCAAAGTAATGCTTTATTTGAGGTTTATAAAACGTATACTTAATATTGTGTGCAAATAAAACCCATTATTCACACCCTCCCACATCCATTAAATACTAAGTAAGCCATAATAATGTCACCATCTTCGTGAGATAGAAAAGTATTGATGTGTACGATATTGGTGGAGTGAAACACGGAGAGAGTGAATTATGTACTTTCGGTTTCGTGCACGTAATATGTATCGTTTAAGTATTGATTTTAACTTCATTTTAGAAAACAAAAACCAATCATCGAATGTATTTGAGATCCACAACAAGACGCAATAAAATGTACACAAGTACTTCTTGAAATTGTGTCGTGGTTTTCGTTAGACTATTAATAATATGTTACACTATATCAAGTTACGTGTTTTTATTAATAACATGAAACTTATTTGTAGCAGTTTTTAGACTTAGAGTCAACTGTATTCGCTAGCAGGCAGGGAAGGTTTTATCCCAGATATTGGTATCAAAAATTCAGTTATAGTTATTAATCACCATAATTCAAATATTATTTTTATATTATTCTTATTTCAGCTGAGTGTTCAAATATTTAAAATAAAAACATATTTTCTCTAGTAGGTGCAATAATTTAAAGGAAGACGGCGTAAGAGAGAGAGAAAGAAAGAGAATAAGAAAGAAACCAAATTGGTTCGAAGTACTATTCACATTCTTATATGTCTATATTGACTCTATATACTAAATACACTGATGTCCTCGCCAACATACTCGTATAATTTATCATGTTCATTTTTAACGTTTTGATGTTTTGTTATAACAATGACATACAATACAAACGCAGTAGAAAATGAAAGAACATAATACAAATAAAAGATGCAGTTGGTATACGTGTACAATGTACATATTCACTGTGTTCGTAGTGTTCGTACTTCATATAGTTTATACAGGTAGTATAACAGTCAATATTTAAAACGTATTTATTATTATGATAATCGGTTGGTTATACATAGATCATGAATATTGTAATACTACGTATCAATGCATCACATTGTGGTGAAACACAGACACGCAGTACTGCATTTTTATAATAATAATTGGACAAAGAGCACTGTTGCACTATTACAATATGTTTATATTATAAATTATGATATGTATATAGTCACGTAGGTTATCTACGGGCTCAGATTTCATGTCAGATATCGTATCGGTTTCTGAACGAAAATTTTGGAGTGAATGGTGAATGAATATAAAAACCATCATAATATTCGAATGTTATGTACATAAATCTAAGTATATAATATTATCTATGTGTAATAACTCTGGTTTTGTTTGACGGATTATACATTTTTGTAAACATGATAAAAATAGTAAATAAATACTGGTCATGTTAGATATTGTAATTATTGTGATGTCGCACTTGTCGCAGACTAAAATTTTATTTCTATAATAAATATTTAATTGCTTTTAGTATGTATTATTATATTATTAAATAAATATTGCTTATCAACACTGCAGACAATGTATCTTGTTAATTTAATAAAAAAAGTAGGTACCTATTGTTGGCTGAATAGCAACATATTATTATATATTATTATCAAGTCAACTGAGTACCCATATTATTTTTCAATATGCGCGTTATGTACCTAATATCATAATTAGTCATTAACATTATACCTAATTAGTACAGTTTAATTAGGTTTAAAGTTCATAAATATAAAACGTTGAATTATTATTGAATAATATAATAAAACAATATTTTATTTTATTCTAATAGTTTTTAGTTAATTTAGAAAAAAATATTAACTTGGTTAAAAAAGAATTACCTACTCGTTAATATTTTTATTAGCACCTCGCAAGTCACACATTACTCATTAGTCATTACTATTACTGCACTACCTACTACAGATTGTGACATTTTCAACTTTTTCAAATGAATAACTATTAATTTTTATAAGGAAACCGTTCCTTTTTATTGCACACAGTAATAATATAGGCGATTATAACTGATAAAATATAACACTTCTATTTCCAAGTTTCAACTATGAAAAATATATTTATAAATTTATAAATATATTTTATAAATTTTTAATTACAAAATAATTTACAAATTTTTATTAAATTGATATTTTGAACTTCAAATGTTATAAAAAAAAGTACTAATATCCTATTGTATATTTAACATGTTTAAATTGCTATAGTAATATTGTATGTGTATATAAGGTACCTTAATTATAATAATTTTTAAGTGTTTTGACGAAGTTAAAAAAATCGAAAATGTTTGTATACATCAAAAAAAGAATAAACCACAATTGCCGTGTATAAAATGTAATAGATAGTTTAACATTTTATAAGAATTTTGAATTACAATTTACTATAATATAAGTAAATCAATTTTGTCGAAAACTAGTTTTACATAAAAAATCTCAGTTTAATTTTTTTTTTCATTTTTCCAATTATTTTGAAAAGTACTTGATATTTTAAATTTTAAATTTTCAATAATATTTACTAATTTCACTTTTTTCTTGAAAAGTTTTTAAAAAATCTAAACAAAAATAAATTATACATTTTTCGTATTTATTTTTTTTTTTACGTTTGTACTATATAAACGACACCTATAATACCTATACCTAAAAAGCATAAATAAAAATGTTACATAAATAATTTGATTAATTATTTATTAGGTTTTAGTAGTTATAGATGATAAATTATCACCGTGTGTCGTGTTTTCATTGTATGAAAACGGCTTCTCTAAATTATTTTGTAAAAAAAATATAATGGTTTTAATTTTTTTATTTTAGTTTTGAATACGGCGGCTGTTTTTTATCAATGTAAACTTCTTAAAATTATGAGTTATTAATTTCAACTATTTAAATAATTATTTTTTATGTATTTTTCTGAGACATAATAAACGACTCCTTAGTCGACAATCGCGCATCACATACTCGTATAATCACCGTAATTATTTTAATCACTGTGATATATAAACAGTCATTAATCGCTACATTTTTCTGTTTAAGTTAATCACCAAATGTTTAAAATTAAAGAAAACTGATTATTATTTGTTATTTTTTTAATTATGTTTTTTGTCTGTTTTAAACGAAATCGCTTAACTCTCAAGTTCAAATGCCGAGTTTACAATTCATATATTATATACATATGTATTATAAGATATGAATAGCTATCATAATAATATATCCATCTATAGACATATAGACTATAATTTTATAGTGGTTTTTGGTATAACAATAATTCGAATCATTTTCGTCCGTAATAATATACCATAATTGTTAAAATATTATAATATTTTGTCCGTCTATACTAAGCAACATTATATTAACATATATTATTTCAAGTGTGTTTAAGTGATCAATTTTCGACAAGGATAACCATCATATCGTTTTCACATGTAATTTCATGCATTGTTTTAGATCTCAAACTAACCTAACTTTGTTCTATTATTGCAGTCTGCACTAATAGCTAATACATTAACCTTATATAGTCATAAAAAACAAATTAAGCATTGTCTGTAAGATAAAATTAAATACAAAATAATTAATAAAGAACGAACATAAATCGAACATTCAGCATTCTTGCATTCTTATATGTCATTTTTTTTTTATCCACTTAATAAAAATCTGACAGACCGAGTCCTTATCATAAAAAAGACCTAACAGTCATATTGTAATATTATATGTTTTAACTCAACTAAATATGTAATAATATCAAAATCTATACAACATTATACTATACAGACCTTAGGTCTCGACATTCATTATCCATTAGCAACGAAGATACGACTTAATGGTAAACAACTACGGACGAGTTTGTAGTGCCTACCGAACAATATTATACATTTTTACATTTTTAAAATAATGTACCTAATATGATTATTTTTTAGGATAATGCACTAGCTGACGTAATTTAAAAAACGTAAATAACATAAAAATGTATCACAAAGTTTCAAATAACAATAGTTACATACTACACTGCCCGCATTTTTT